TGTTCTAAAAAACTTGTCGTTTTAATAATGAAACATAGTTTTGATACTTTTAAATTGCACGGGACAAATAATTTTTTACCATACTGCACTTAAAAAAGGAACTTTTTATCCATGTCGTAAGTAGAAAATTCAATGTAGGATTGGTAAGAAATCGCATACAACCTATTGGAAGAAACAAAGAAAGCCTCAAATTACATTCTTGTCACCATCTTGTCCAATGCCTGTGATTTGAGATTTTCCTTATGATTCCTCCCTAGCTGAGTAATGTCATCGTAAAAATATAGCTTTCAGCATATCAGATTAAGTCATTAACGTAAATCAATAGATCTCATTTACATGAAATCGATGGTTTTTCAAATATGTCAAACTAAATTTTATCTTAAAATTTTTATTTGGGACTTCAAATTTGCTAGAAAAAAATACTATTACAGGTACGTCATAACCGTAAGATGCTTTAACTCGGGTTTTCTGAAAATTCCAATAAAGTTGGCCCAAAACTTTCCGACTCGTTTGGAGTTGTCATGAAATGAAAAAAAAAAAAAAAAAAAAAAACATGAAAAATTCCAAACCACATAAAAACATTCATTTTACGCATCAAAATAACACATTTATTAATTTATTATGAAATGACCCAAATGTATCGATGTATAATACAAAGCAATGTTGGGCTTAAAAGTCTGAGAAGAGCACGCTTTCAGAAGCTGTAATTAACATATATTATGTATTTCCGTTAAATTATTGATCACAATTACTCAAAGCCTATACTGTTTTTTTTTTCTACTTACCGAGAGACTTTGCATGCATAAGATAGATGGAACCGGATAATGGCTCGGAAAGCAGGTTACCTACGATGCACTGATGCAGTCGCCATTTCCTATGCAGGTTTAATGATAAAGCCATGCGTCTTTCCTCTGATGTCTACTTTCTCATCACTTTTTTTTATTTTATACATAATTTATGATTAATGTAAAAGTATAAAATATTGTCCAAAAATCGATTTAAAAAAAATGATTTTACTCTATATTTAAATTACCAATCTAGTGTTATTTACTGTGAAAAATGTTATGAATATCGTATTTAATGGAATAAATAATACTAGTTGCTGCAAGTTACTACGGATACATACCAATTAACCCTCATTTCTCATATTTTAAGGATAAAAGTTAACATAGCTTCTGACCAGCAGTTATATTTTAAAAAACATCAAATTAACAAAAGACTAGTTGATATATTTGGATATGAAAAACGTAGAATCATATGTATCTACTGAAATTTTATTTTTGCCTTATCTCTGCTGGTTCAGAATGAAGGATGTTTCATTATTTAGTTGTAAGCATATTTTTTTATCTCCACCGTATCATGACACAAACTATTAATATTTCCTTTTTTTCTAGTGACTTAAGTCTGTTGGCCAAAATGATATCCCACGTCACATCGTTATCTTGACATTTTTGCTACCTCCAGAAGGCGAAGGTAAAAATATAAAAATACCAGGGATAAGGGCACTCAGGAAGCTCCTTAACGTCAGACTCAACGTACTACGTACGTTTGTAGGCTATCGAGTAATTAAAAAGCGTTAAACCTATCCTCAAGGTATAACGCAAATTTGTATAAATTTTTTCCCCAACAATTCATTTATTTCAAATAAAAAAACTAGACTCCAGTCTTTATCAGCAATAAGCATAGGTTTAGAAAAAAAATTATATATTTATCGTAATTTATTACTATTAAACTATACTAGTAAATCGGTATATTAAACAAGATGTAAGGTAAAATAAAAATTTTTAATTTCGTCAAATCTTGCAATTTAAATTGAAAGAGATAAATATATGTGGCACAATTTACATGTGACATATCAATTGAATAATGAACAGATATCAAGTAATTAAGGGAATTGGTGAATTCTAGACATTCATAATTTAAATAATCCTACAGTAAGTAAATCAATATTTTTTTAAGTAACTATTTATTGTTCATTAACATCCATTTACAGTAAACCATAATAGAAGACTTAAAAATTATTTTAATTGAAAGAAAAACCATAAAATTTCGACAACATCCTCCATTGAAAAAAAAGTTGCATAATCACACAAATAATAACATTAAAAATTTTAATCAAAAAACGACACAAGCAATCGATCGGTGACTTTTCAATGCCGTTTTTACTTTGCTAAAAACTTCTATTAAGATATTGATTTTTTACTCTTTATTGTTTATAACTCTTTCATTCTTCTACATAAAGTGTGTATCTTGTAAGAGTTACCGCGTAAAAGGAAAACAATTTTAACATTTTAGTTTTTCCTGTACATCAAATATTTCTTTCATCCTCGATTCACAACAACTTTCTGTTCTTCACTTTTAATCGCCCACTCGTACTCACGTGCATAGCATTTCAAACTTTATTTTAGTTTTATTAGCTGTTTAATTGTATCAGGGTTTTGAAAAATTAAAAAATCGCACCCATTATGTTACAAATTAGCAGAAAAGATTAAACACCACAAAAAATAGTTAATAAAACTAAAATAAAATTTCATAAGTACCATGATATGAACGTAAGTACGACTAATTTTTTTACATTTTCTGCTAATTTATAACATAATGAGTGCAATTTTTTTATTTTTGAAGCCACTGATATAATTACAGTCAAATTAGTAATTATTGATTAACATGATATTAAGTATCAGTTTGTGATCTAAAACACTCTTAATAAAGTCCAAAAACTCCGAAACTTTGGTGTATTCTGCTGGACTTTGTGATTCATCACATATAGCATTGGGTCCCGTACTCATGATACCAATGACTTTGTTCTCAAAAACAAGAGGACTACCACTGTCAGCCTGAAAAATTACAAGCTATAATTATTTTCTGGTTAAAGAAAATTATAAGAAAAAATACTTAGGTAACTATGTCAGAAAGGTAAAATTGATTATTTTTCTAGTTTATGTATCTTCACTTGCACTGAACAATAAATACTTGTATTGTATTTATAATAGACTTGAACGGTAGTAGAAAAAGCATGTCCAGGTAATATCCATCTATAATATTTGTTATGCAATTTTGAATTATGAAACAGATAAAATTTTTTAAAAAACAATATATTTAGACTTAATCTTGGTAATTTGGAGCATGACTATTTGTTTAAATATTTTATTCATTTAAATAGTTATGCTGCATTTGATGACAAAGGAGCAAGTGAAGGAAGTTTGCAGATATTTTTTAAAAAACGTTTCCTTGGGATACTAAAAGGTTTTAAATTGACTTTTTATTTATACGTGAAACTCATTTCGTCTCTTGATGCAGTAAAGTTTACTTCTTAAAAATACTAGTTTAATAAAACTGCCTGTAGGTTCTTAAATGTTTAATAATGTTATTGATGGAACAAAAAATAAATAAAAATTTTCTTAATACGTACGTAACAAACGCCTTGATATGGCCCGAGAATTTGTTTCATTTGACCACACAGTAAAATTGGATACTTTTCTGCACCACATTTTTCCAACCCCATAATATTTACTGATTCGTGTCTTAAAATAACACATTTATTAATTTATTATGAAATGACCCAAAGACACCCACGAATTTTAATCTTATTCAGTCACACAATATTTTTTCAAACACGTTATTCATTAACTTTAAATTATATTCGAAATTTCAACGAGACAAATTAATATTAAAAATATACCAGACCTCATATGAATTTTATTTTGTTGAAACGCATGAGTTTGCGGTAAGATATTCACAAAAATATTTAAGGGTGAAAATTCAAGGGTAGTTTTTATCTCCTCATTCAGTGTATTCGAGCTCCAAAAAAATACTTTACGCAGACTCTGGCATATACCCTACGCAGACTATACATGTATGCATTGTACAGTCGACCGTGATGCAGTCGACGAACTTTAACTCGCTCAGCGGGAAATTTGAAACTCACCAATGCAAAAAATCATGTTAATCGAACTACCCAATAGAAATAAATTTTTCCAATNTTTTTTATAAAAGCAATGTGCTGCAGTCAAAACTACGTCAGGTGCAATGAGTGCACCACCACATTGGTGTTCTCTTTCTGCTTGGATGGAAACTTGATATTTGAATTCTCTGTCTCCCGAATCTTGACCTCCAATGATATTTTCTATTTCCAAACTAGTAACTGAAATATTATAATGGCCTTTTTGTGTTTTCTTTGTTTCAATCTCATTATTTATAGAATTTGTAGTGCACTGGGAACAAAAATTAAAAAAATTATTGAGAAATCCCAGCAAAATTACCATTCCGCACAGTAAATCCGATGCTATAGTTGGAAAAAAGAAATAAATTATTATTGTTAACAATGAATATTATTGTTTCAACAGTTAAAATTATGGCTCGAAAAGTAAAAATTATGGTTATAATAGTAGAAATTACTATGCTGGAAACTAAAATTTATTAACCGATTTTTTTAAGATTTACTGTTCCAGCATAGTAATTGTTATTGTCCTATCCACAATTTTAACTATTCGAACTATAATTTCAACTGTTAAAACTATAATCTTTACTAATAAAAATAAAAATTTTTTTCCTTTTTTGCCAACTAGCATTCAATTTATTATGCAGAAGAGTAATTTTTACTAGAATTTCTCTATCATTTTTATCATTTTTTTTTTCTCAGTGTACCGCCTAATAACATTGTAATTTTTAACATTGTACTACCTAATAACAATGACAAAATAATTTTAATGAAGGGAACATTAATACGTGAAGTATAAACTCGTGTTTACATTCAACACGCCGTCATTAGGTACTATTTCTCCGTATATACACATCCAATTTTGGTATAAAGATATAGTTCTTTACATAACTAGTCTACGAAAAACAGTATTGTTAACTAGAATGTAGTCAATCAGTCTACTCGCACTGCGTACATATACATACATATAATGTATATTAACGTTGATATCAGCTGTCAATTGTTACTATTTTTTTAAAATTTTAACCTTAATATACTTTTACGTCACAGGCATTAACTTATAATTATAAAAGAAGACAATTTACAACGTACCTTTGCTTACAAGTATTACAAGAAAAGCTGCCAAAAGAGTGGGTAGATTAGTTGGCATCATTTTGGAGGCTTTCGGTGAAATTCTCTGACTGTACGACATCGACGATAACATCAACTTTATAAAGCAATAAGTGTTAATTACTTGATTATATAATACATGTAATTATAACTATAAGCACATTTAAGTAATTAAAGTGATGTGTACTATTTCTACTGTACTGTTTGGACAACTGAAATACGCGAGATGATAGACTAGTCAGAAAAACAATTAGCTGTAATAGGATATTTGATTAGAATTACTCTTGTGTGCAAAAATAGTGGTAAAACCTTACGGTATTGTTCCCCAACTTGGATTGAGATATCCCAATCGTCATAACTCGTGGTACAACACGTAGACTGAACTCCTTGTCCCATCGTACTTGCTTAGTGGGAAAAACCCTTCATAATTTTGACGGTAAATTAAGTTTTTCTGAAATTTTGCTATTCCACGTGAAAATTGATTTGTCATATTACACTTAAATATTCAAGTTTTCTGAGGCAATAAAGAATATGTATTGTTTAATCAAATTTATTTGTCTGTAATATGCAGGTACGGCCTTTAATAAAAAAAATTCACTAGTAACCAATAAATTGGATACCTTACAAACCTAGTGGTCACTTATTTTTTTTTATAAATATACTCGTCAAATATATTTGAGTATTACATCGACACAGAACACAGTAACCATAGATACATTTTTAGCTTTGTCGAATGACGAAAAGAAATAGCATTAGCCGTATTTAGTACTTTGAGAATGGCTGATATTTCAGGTACATTGCATCGCTTGTAACTTTTCAATTTTTTGAGAGAATAAAATCAATGTGGATAAAAGCAATTAATTGATATATATTGTATTATGTACATAGTTCATTTAGACGATGGATGCGCACACTGGAGTCAATTGGGATTTTTCTTAATTTTTGCTTACGATTTGCACTATAGTAATAAAGGGCAGTTTTAATTCTACACAATTTTTTTTTAGGAAAATTAATGATTCATAATTTGTTAGAAGTTACTAGTTTATATTTACTATCGGAAAAATACGGCCATTTAGTGTTGGTAGATGCCTGTGTGCATCCACCTAAATGAACCATGTACATGACATAATGTATCATATTAATGAAATTACAAGGTTACTTGTGCATTTAAGTAGTTATTAACATTCGATATCAAAAAAATTGTTGACTTGAAAAAAAATTACAAACCATCATCTATGTTTATTTATATCGAACGAAATACTGAAACTGTATTGTTTATTAACATTTGGAAGTGAAGGAAGGTGATGTCACTTGGTGAAAAATGATCCTTCTAATGACCTTATGTCGCTTCGTTACGTAAGCAACTTTAATTCGCTCCATCTCCGTCCGTTTTTAGAAATGAAAAAAATAACAGGAACGTCTCTAATCTTTTTAACAACTTATCCAATCGATTTAATGGTATGCAAAATTTTTTAAAATGTATTTATGTATTTAAAAAAAGGGATGAAATACATTTCTTACTTATCAATGAAATGTACTACGATTTATCAAGTTCAAATATACTCAATCGTTAATAAAATCTAGGCTTTATGTATATGTTATTATCGAGGTTGTTAAATAATATAATGTTACTTCTTCATAATTGGCTAAAAACAATAGTACAGTAATGAGAATTACCTAACTACGTAAGAGTTAAAATTTAAGGATTATTGGTACTATAGAATATATTTACAGTTGAAACAACAGTAACGATTGTTTATATAATGACCCACAATTTTAAAAAATACAGCCAATTAGTTTAACTTTAATCAAAGATACTCATAAATACATCGAATAATTAATATGAATTTCTAATACATCGAATAATTAATATGAATTTCTAAATAAAATTTAAGAAACCATTAGAGCGACCATTTCACAAAAATATTTTTCTTTCAGTAGTATAATAATTTTTTGTATTTTTTTTACATGTATCGTTTTTTTTTTTTTTTTT